AACTAAGAGCGATATATTTTTAGAGATAAAAATATTACTTCTACATGTCAATCTTTCAAAAATTTTTCTATAATAGATATCTATTTCAAATGAAGTCATTTCATTTCAAAAGTTTTGATACTGTGCTGTTACTTTTCTTACATACTTTGGACCTGTAGGCAAATAATACACTGTGAACCACATTTTAATGAAGTATCTAAATTTACGCATTTTTTTAAATACTTTTTTGTTTTTTAATACTACTCTTGAGCCCTACAGCTACAACATTTCTTTCTGTTTACTAGTCAACAGCTTTGATTCTCTCTATTTTCAGCATTATCATGTCCCCCAATTTTCAAAGTATGTCAAATGGCAACAAAGCATGGAAGAACTTCAAGATGCAGCAGAACTCCACATTTAATACTAGAAAAATCTGTACTTATTCAAAAGTTAATCATTTATAGTGGATTATTTCATAAGTAAATCTAACAGTACCTTCTATGTGGAAATATAGTTACTCAAAACCCTGAGCAACACAATGTAACTTCAAAGTTTGGCCTGTATTGAGTGCAGGTTGGACCAACTGACCTTCAGACATTCTTCCCAATTTGATTTATTCTATGATATAGAGAAATTAGATAGGAAACAACACTTGACAGTTACAATTTCATTTGAATAAGCAAAGCATTATTGAAGATATTTCAGTTTTTCCTCAGTATTATTTTTTCTTTCTGAAAAAATGGGGAGGGAGACTTTTTCGTTTAAAATGTCCAGGCCAGTGGCCCTTCTCTAACTGTGAAGATATTGAAATAAATTCACTAGTTTCTAGACACTGTAGTGAAATATATTGAGGAAGAATTATAATTCTAGAAATCAAAATAGAGTTACCATCCAAGGAGCTTTGGAAATGCGGTGCAAGAGAGGTGGAGTTGCTTAGAGGAAGCCTTGTCTTGACTCAGTGTGGCCGCACTGCCAATGAGTAACTCCTAAAGCATCCTCATGGGTATGTGCGCTAAGGAGATTCAGAGGGACTTTAGGAAGACACCCCCAGCATTACCCGAAGGAAGGAGAGGCTACTGCCTCTAATTCTCTCTCCATACGCAACTCCTTTTACTAATGTCCCAGTTACCTTGAAACCCCTCTCTGCAGATTGCAGCGCCACAAGATTCACCCCGCTCCCACCAGGCAGACCTCCTCGGTCCTCAGTCGCGGGTCCACATAACATGAGGGCACAAGGAAGTTTTCCCGGTGCTGGGAAAAGTGCCACCAGCCAGGCACCTCAGATTCTGGCACAGGGGCACTCCTTAGGATGTGGCCTCTCCCCACCGCTGCTCATCCCCACGTGCCCACAGTCACAGGGACACCGCAGCACCAGCGAGTCCAAAGTGGGATTATGGCTTGGGCCACATGGCACAGTGCAGCACGGGAGCTGTGACACACGCAGCCATCTCACTCACCACTCATGAAACTTGGCACCTCGCTGCCCCGTGCCTTCGGGCAGACGTTTTGAAAAGGTTAAATTTGCGCTCTGCAGGGTGGGAAGCAAAGGAAATGGAATCATCCCTGTGCAAGAGGCACAATGAAGCAGTACAATTAAAAGGGGTCTTTTTTTACAGCTAATAAAAAAGAAATGTATATGAGAAAGTATGGATTTAAAATAACCAGTAAAAAGACAGAAATTGAAGATGCCCCTGCAGTTTCAGGAACTCAAGATAACTCTAGAATGAGAAATTTAATTTTCTGAATTCTCAGAATCAAAGTTGAAAAAAGACACTAAAAATCCAAAATTGATACTAATGGAAAAAGCTCATTTCATCTTATTTAAGGTCTATAAATTAATCACCTGAAACAGTATTAGAAAGAAATAGCTCTTACTTTTTCCTAAGATTCAGTTATTAGTAAAATAGCTCATGTGCCATCAACACAGTCACCCATTACAGATACATTAGCATCTAATCAACCCATCTGCCCTTGTACTACATTTCTACACCCTCACTCATTCCTTAGTAACAAAAAGCTGTGTTATATAATACTGGGCCACATACAGAAACTTTCCTCTAAAAACAATTTTCCTTTAAGAATGGGAAATACAAAATTTTCAATCTCTCCAGCTCTGAAACACTTCCATCTTCTTTATTTTTCTATGTAGTACACTGAATTTCCTTCTAAAGCACACAACCTTTATAAGCAAATTTCAGTCATGGCAGAAGGCACTCATATTTTACTCAAAACACAAAGCTTTTCCTCACACCTTATGTGCTACCTACATGGTAAAAAGCAGTTTCTCAAATATGTTTCTACAATATTGATTATTTCAGGGTGAGAAATAGTTCTAAGCATTTCATTTTGATGTTTTTCATATATCCACTCAGGTGAGTACAAGTTTGCTTTAGAAAGCAGTATGTTATGGAAGTGTATAGAATAGAATTTGGGGCATATTTTTTGGATAGTCATTAAAATAGGAAGTCAGGGTGGAGTCTGAGCACTGATGGTTTCATTAATTGGTCATTTCCTAACTTTTTGGCAATTATATTGTCAGTGAAGAACACCTCCCAATCGCAGGAATCAGCTGAGAAAATCCATAATGAGATGAGGAAATCTGAAACTCTCTAGGCTTAATCTGGAACAGACCTCATGCCAGTCCAATTATAGGCTGAGAAGAGACAATAACTCCACCCCTTCGCAGCTCTTCTTCACGACCAACTGCCTCAGGGAAAAACGTTCTCTTTCTAGCTAGCCCCTGGGAACATCTACTCTTCAGTATTAGCTGCTAAGTTCCCCCTTAAAACCAGGCAGTTTCCAAAGTTGAGAAGCAACAAAATGCAGGTGTTGGAGGGCTGGAACTCCCCAATGAAATGCAGCTGGGAAGAGAGTATCTATTCCAGAGACCATTTGCAAAGCCCCTATGGAAATTACCATGTTGGTTCGGCTCTTACATCTACATCTGTACTGACTGAAGAGCCCAGGGACTGCAACCCCCTTACAACAGCCCCCCCCTCAGCTTTGGGCTATAAAAACACAATCCCAGTGGGCTGCAACATGGACCATAGTGCCTTAGGGCATCTGAGAATTGATCGTCCCCCAAAACCACCACTTAGACTCTAATTCTTACTTCTCAAGACCAGAGGGCCTGCTGTGAAGATATTTTCCTGTGTGAGGGATGTCATCTGCCAAATTCATTAAAAAAAAAAAAATTCCAGATTTGAAAACTCTCTAACAATGGTAAATTTATTGTAGAGTAAAGCAGCCCCTACAGAATGTTCTGCAGAGCTGCCAATGAACCCCATTATGAAAAAGTATGAAAGAGGCTAAACAGAGGTACATTTCAAAATAAATTACTCACAGTTTCCCCAATATCCATAAAACTACTCATCACATAAATCTATCATCACAGTCTGAGGTCTTTTGTTTAGTTGTCCTTACTCTACTATCCACAGGGAAAGAATTTCAAAGGCTAAGACTGATTACTCCATCTCCTGTAAAGCTTTCTGAAAGATCTCAGAGTATTTAAATTAGTAATAAAAGACAGAGGCTGGAGGAAAAAAGATAAAGAAATATGCACAGATTGTTAACTCTAAGCAGTACGATCTCACGCTTTCACTGGAAGCAATGCTGATAAAACTTGCCCACAAAAAAAGGATAAGTCCCTTTTTATAGTCTAGATACAGTTAAAATTAACAATATCCAAGCTATAAGCACTAGTTAGTGGGGGAAGGGGGGAAGGGATACCAAAACTGTGTGAAAATAGATAAAGCTGGAAAAAGTAACTTGGATGGGCAATGACTAGAAATTGAAGGAGATTAGATTTTATTCCCTAGTTTAGAAATGAAGAAATCAAAATGAATCAAAGTGATTTAAGACACCAGGCTTCTGTTGCAGAAAATATTTACAAATGAAAGGAAGCATCAAGTTTTAAAGTAGATTTTCTTGTACTGTACCAACTAGAACACTAACACGTTTCTTAAGTACTTAGAACATTTAGTTTAAAATCTGTTCCTAATATATTAACCGAACTGAAAGAATTTGGTTTCTGCACCGAAAGTAACATTTTTGACACTCCATACATTCAACTGCAATGGAGGATATAAATGATCTTTGCTCACATCTGTCAACCCCATCCACTTGCTCTTATGTAGTCAAATAGTTTTTGTAGCTTTTATTGTTCAATGGTCCAGAAAGTGACTGTGTAAAAATATTGTGTAAAATTACATCTTCTCCTTTCATACCTTCATAATCAAAGTCGTACCAATCTGCTTTACTGGCAGAAAACAAATTTCTACTTGTTACAGACCTTAAATTGGATATTTATCCTCCTATCTGTACTGAAAATATTATCAGCTAATTACACAATTATACAACATACAAAAAGAACACAATGAATTTGCAGATTTTTACTGAAGGTGGGCAGGAAATCAAAAATATTTTTGTGTGTGCACATGTAAACATTAAGCTCCAGGGAAGCAGCAAGTATCTAACGCTGAATGTCTCAAATAACTGAGGCTCGTTTAGAGCTTTGAAAGAACATATTTGCAAACATCAGAAGTAATTCACAAATAATTTATGAAGACAAAAATCTAAATTGGCCAAATCCTGTATTCTGTGAATACCATTCAAACAGAACCACAGAGAAGATATATTTTCAGACTATAATAACACTCTAAAACCATCGGCAAACTTTTCTGTACGGCTTACAAAATAAAAAAAAAGAAATAAAATGCATTTCAAACTCCTGAATTCACATTTGGCCCTTTTGTTAGGCCAAAACAAATATATTTCAGCATACTATTACAGTAATTGTATGTGGATTTAATAATAAACTTTGGGATATTCAGTTATACCTACTGCTTGCAGGAGATTGTATTACATAGGCATTTTTATGCCAGAAATGTACATTTTGTGTTGTTTCTATAAATATAACAAATAAAAGAAAAAAAAAACATTTACTTAACCAGGAGTAATATTTTCTTCCTGGAGGAAAAAAAAAAAAAAAAGTCTGGTGCTAGAAAACCCCTCTTCTAACAACAACAATTATAAAACAAAGTCTGAGCAAAACATAGGCAATGGCACATAAGCTGTGACGAGATAATACCACAAAATCTCCAAAAGTCATTCTTTTAAGCATATTTGCAAAGAGAGGGGAATTCTGAACTATCCAATTTTGCACCTTTATGACAAGCAAAAAAAATCCAAAATCTTTTATTAAGTGAGTTTATCTGAATTCTTCGATGCCTAGAAAGCAAAACAGAGTAAGGAATACTATCATGCATCAGTTCTCTCAATTTCTGTTGAGAAGTCTTTTCATGATGAAATCACATAAAACTGATACCTTAGAAACTCAGAGAAGAAAAGTGCTTTAATCAGTCTCTTTATACCTCTGACAAACTTGAATATATCTTTCTTCAACAATGCAGACCTTTCAAATCAGCCCTTCCAAGAAGATTTCTACTGCCCAGGCCCTTCAAGTAGACCTCTAGTAAAAACAGAAAAGACAGAACTTAGTATTTCTGAGATAAACGGGGAAAACAGGAAAACAGAAATAAAAGACAAAAAGAAAAATGCATTTTAGGCTTTTATACATCATAAAGCAGCTCACTGATGTTCTTAATCCCCAAAAGTCAAAGTCCCACTTCCACTTCCTTTCCAGATCACTGTACTGTGTACTCTGAACCTACATCTGCTCCAGAGTCAAAATCAAGTCAAGATGGTTTCGATTTTTTTAAATGACCCCACCAGCTTTCTTTCATTTCCTGCCTGCCTTATGCTCTCATGCAATACACTGCCATATATATTCATATTTTCTCATTTCTCAAATAAAGTGTTCAGATTCCAGAGAAATCTACTGTTCAGGGAAATTAACTGACAAATTTCCCAAATAATTTTGAACTTTCTATGCACGTATGATTAAAACATTAAGCTATTTGAATTAACAGTGAGGATACAGACAGTTAATGAAATACCCTTGAAAACATCCTTCTAATTCCTCTTAAACAACAGAGGAGAATTTAATCAAGGAGCAGCCAAGTCAGGCCGAAAAAATTGTTGCACGTGGTTCGGTTATTTTGCAGATCTGCCACTCTACATAAATTCTACGAGAACCTGACCTTCCTTCAGAGCATGACAGTGATTCCCCGTCAGCGATATGTGACCAGAGCCATTACGAGACACCTATTCAGTGTTAACAATCTCCCAGCTCCAGTGCCATGAGCTGCTCAACAGCCAGGGGACTGTAAACCTACGCAGGTTTAGATCCGGTTAGGACACCGAAGGTCACACCACAAATGGCATTTCCGAAGAATTTGGCGGTCATTTAAAAACTAGAGGATTATAAGAGACAGCCCTGGCGACAGCAGTCCTTGGGTGGAAGCTGGGTAACAGCTGAACAAAAAAAACATTTTCAAAACTTACCCTCATTTGCCCACACACGGTGCCCCACTCACAATGATGGGGATGAGAGAGTTTACAAATTCTCTGCTGAAATTGCCAGTAAAGATATTAACTGATGGTACTGCAGAAAGAAATAGTGAGTAGGTTTTAGTATGGAGCATATATTCACCCAAGGACCTAGACTGCAGGCTGTTCATTTCATAGAATAGCATCCAAACAGATCTTGTAAGGGAATTTTTGCGCTCTCTAGTCCTAGATCTGAACAAAATTCGAGCTAACGCATTTGGAAAAGGATCTAAGCCTTGATCCAAGTTACAGAACTCCATCCCTTTGTATTAAATAGATGGTGTCAAATTCTCAGATTTAAATAATTTTCAATTTTTGAATTCTTGTTCCAGACCTGAGTTTCAATGCATAGGTGGTCACAACTTAGCTTGACTTTGACTTTGAGCTTGAATTTGAGTTTAAATCAGAGATACCTGAACTTTAAAGATCAAAAATCCGTTTTGTCGTCAATGTCCTCGCAATCATGGTATGAAACCCAGAAAAAAAGCTTAAACAGATTTGCTGTGAAGCTTATTGAAATCAAATTGCTTCTAATGAGCAAGAAGCGTGGAGGAGGGTTAAGTACAAGTACTGATGCAGAACTGCTAGAGTTTCCATTAGGCATATTCCCAGCCCTAGGATTGGCTGTACCATCTGATTTTCATAATCGCTACGGAAGGATATTCCTAAAGAATTCCACATTATCCAAATCCTTTTCTTTGCCTAACATCCACTTTTAATCAGAAATTTTCAGGCATTTGTTTTCTGCTCTTGCTTGCTTTCCAAAAACACAATAAGCATCTGAGAGAAAGAAAATACCTAAGCTATAAAGAAAAAAAAAAAGTTTAGGGAGCCAGAGAAAGGGTTTTTAGCTTAGAAGTAGAAAAACTATGAACCTACAATCATTAACTCCTTTCAGTAGATCCTCTGCTTCTTCTACCAGACTTCTGTCACTGTGCACGTCCCAGTAAGATTTGGCAGCATTTCATTCTATTGCTGCAACAGCTTTTCCTACCAGGAAATGTCTGCGTAAAGATTGAAACGTTTTAGAGTTATTTTGTTTGCCTTTTGTGAAAATTAAATGCTTCATTTTAATAAACACAACAGTTGGAATTTATTACTGATTCTTTTTGGTTTCTAATATTATGAAATATTTAAGTTCTTTCATGCAGCATTTTATCAAAACAAGCTAATGAAGAGGCAAACAAGCCAACATGAAATGGGACACATTTTCATCTGAATTCTCAAAATCATCCTATTTTCCATAGGAAATAGCTATCTGGAACTAACAAAATATCCCAGGAAGACCAGCTGCATTACAGAACTGAAAACTCAAACTGAGTTAAGTTTTCACAGCACAGTCAGTTTTCCACTACAAATTTTACCAATAACGTGGAGGATTCTCTACCGTTTGATGTCTCCAAGTCAGTTTTAGGCGTCTTTCTACAGAGTCACTGCAGCATTAGTGGAAGTTACTGACTTGAGACAGGAATCAGAAAATTCTGTTTGCTTCAAGCCAGAAATTGGACTAAGAAATTACCTAGATCATTTGGCCCTAACACTGAAGAATAACAGTACAAACATTTTCCTGTATTTACAGATAAATGAGTCACACATGAGGAAAAGAAATATGTAAAAATAGCTGAAAACTCCTAGTAGTAGTTTTTAACTTGTGGTATATGTAATCCGTGGATCCACAGGCCAATTTGAAGGGGTCCACAACAGCAAGCCCTGATAGGGCTCATTCAAACACCATGATAAAGGGGTCCAGAGCTCCACTCGAATATCTTTAGGAGTGCAAAATCAAAAATATTTGAAAACCACTGAGCTAGGATTATCACTGTAGTAACAGATAACATATTTCTCCACGAGACTAACTAACACTCAGGTTTTTATAGTTCGGAGATCTGGCATCCAACACCCAGCACCAGTTTCAACAAGTCTGTTGCCAGGCTCTGCCACTGCCACTGCCACTCATTTGTCTAAAATAAGCTACTCTATCTGTCCATGTTGTGTTGCTCTGCTGTTTTACCAGTGCAAATGACACATTTTCACTAGAATGTATAAATATACACATATTCCTCAAAGAAAAAGATGTCTTTGAACAAGATAATTGGCAGACATTGCCTTGGCACTGGAACAGGTTACCCAGAGGGGTTGCATGCTTCCATCCTTAGAGATTTTCAAGACCAACTGGATAAAGCCCTAGCAACCTGGTCTGATTTCATACCTGATCCTGCTTTGAGCAATAAGTTGTACTAGACACCTCCTGAGGACCCTTCCAGCCTGACTTTTTCTGTGATCTCATGAAAAGGCATTGAAGAGACGTGGCCAGCTTTCATTTCACTCCTCTTACTCCATTCAGGTATCCCTAGAATACATCTTGCTGTTTACTTTTTCACTTACAATGTTTTCTGTGGCTTTAAAGCACATTCACAATCACATTTGCATGTGTTTCTATACAATCATAAGGGCTTTCAAAATTATAAGGGCTTTTTTTTTTTTAAGGATGGGACAAAGAACATCATAGAAATTCTTGATTCCAGGAGGTCTTCAGAAAAGTCAATTGTCAAGAGTCTTGCAGAAAAAAATCTCAGGAGAGGGCAAAATATTGGAGCAGAGAAATCTTACAGGCAGGTTGGGGCTCATCCCCATGATTACATCCAAGTTGCTTTTCAGAAGAATAGGCTAGAATTTCCACCAAGTTACCCTGAAATTTGTTTGCAAATTCATTTGAAAAGTTCAGTGGAAACATAAATGGAATAGCAGGCATTTGTGCATATATTCTTTCTGCATATTCCTGCCTTTTCAATTTTCAGACTGAAAGGGCAAATTCTTAGTTATTACAGAATTTGAAACTGCTAAGAAAGGAACAGCCACAACTGAAACACAGCATCAGAACCAAGCAACTACATAAACACTTATCAGAAATCCTTGTACTTTAACTGCCTCACCCTGCATTTGCGGGACAAAAGATTCAAGAAGCTATTATTTTGTTTGTTTGCCATCCATTAATGAATGAACACAGCCTCCTCACGATGTCTGCGATTTGCTAAATATCCACGTGTAGCACGAAAGCCAGCTGTCCAGTTTGTAGGCTTGCAAGCTCTGCAGCCCCGTGGAATGAGGCAAGACCATCCACTTTGTGACATTCCAGTAGTGATTTCAAAGCCTGCTCCAAACTCTATCTAAATTTGCTCTCCTTGCTTATCGAAAAAAGGTTTATTTGCTTTCTCCTTTTAGGGGCACTTAAAGCTATTTCATTTGGAGGCAGCTTTTGGGCCTGTGTTTCTCTACTCTATGATATAGACGCATATCTCCCATTCAGTGTTTTTCACTAACTTATCTGCTTATTTTGACTACTTTGCGGTCAAGCAGCTTGCTGAACTCACGCCTGTCAAACGGTTTTTGATGTGTAACATGCCGCCTCAGTTACTCATTTCTTGCATTTCTGCCCAAATTTCCCTCTGCTGCACTGCAAGCAGATCTGGTTATTCTACATCTCTGAACGTCCTGCACAGTCCCGTCGACCTATCCTCTCCCTATTTTTTTCTTTTAATGGGTGCTGAATCACAGTCAGTATTGCTATCAGAGTACTCTTGCCTTGCTTCTTTTGGACTGTTACATAGCAATACTTCACTTGTCTGGTTGTTAAAACAGGCTGCGCTTCACAGCATGTACCATGTCTCACCTACTTCCTGCAGTATTCCATTTCTTGTTTTACTTGGTAGAGGCATATATTTTTCTATTTCTCCACTATTATTTTTTTCTTTTCTTTTTCTTACATGAATGTCAGTGCTAATGGAAGTGTTGGGCTGGAAGTTCAGAGAAAGCAAAAGTACAATTTTCCTTCGGCTGCTCTTGTAAAAAGCCTCACCGCTGGTCCGGAATGACTGTCTCTGGGGGAAGATGAAGTGTCCACGGCTCCGGTTTCCCTCCCCAGACCTCCACTGTGCTCAGACAGCCAAAATCACCCCTGAGACCTCAAAGAGTAGCAGCACGCCTACCACTGAGGAAGGGCTCAGAGCTGGATTAAGACAAGAAACACCTTTGCTACAAAATGCCAGAGCCTCAGCATGGTAACAGCTTTGAGTGACAGCTGTGCTAGGCCAAATTCAGAAAATCAAGCCATCTATGACCAGGAGCTGGAGATCACTCCTCGCTTTGCCTCATCAGCTCCAGAAACCATCCAACTCTTCCTCCTTGAGCCCTCCTCTTCGAGCAGATAAAAGTTGAACCACGCTCCCTCCCTCCGGCCCCGAAATCACTACAGAAGCATCTCCTCAGCTCTAGGAACCAGCACCAGCAAACTGTAGGGAACTGGGTAACGATTAAAAGCTTTTTAAAGTTCTCCTCTCAAGCAGATGGAGGAAACCTGTGCTCTGTTCCAGGGCAACTAAGTTAGGAAAATACGCTGGGTCCCTTTGGATCTCTTCTTGCACTGCCTGGCATGTTGGAATTGCAAGGTGCTACTGTTTGCAGCTTTTTCCTTAGCTGATCACGACATCTTTGCCACCCTATTCCCACCCTTCTGAAAACTGGGCAAACCCCCAAATCACCTTTCCCAAGCCACACTCATTTTCTCTTACCCTCAAAGACTGAACATTATCACAGATCTACACCATGAGCCTGACGCTAGCAACGGTCCCACTCCAGATGGATGAGGTTTCGGCTTACGTCTAGCCTGCAATGCAGATTTAATCGGAGGTAGCTGGTGGCACTTGAACTCCATCTCTGGAAACCTGGCCACTTTCGTGGCAACAGGAGACAGGGCAAGGACCCAAGGAAGCCTCTCTCCACCAATGCCACAGGGTGGGGAGTTTAGGGAGGGGAGGTGACCGGTGCCGGTGCCGGGGGAAGAAGAACCACGCACAAACAAAAGGTACGTGCTGACGTTAATCTCCCTTAATGAAGCCTTTATAGAGCCTGTCTTCTGAGTCACCCGGCTCAGCGGCGAGCTGAGAAAAAGCTCATGAATCAAACTGTATCACTGTAATGAAACGGAGCAGCCCGTCAGCCGGGCAGCCGATGCCTCCAGCTGCCTCTGTCTCTCCCTGCCGCCGGACACCCCTCCTCGCTTACCTGCATACAAAATAGCAGCTCCACCACTCCTTTAGCAGCTCAGGGGCCCTGCGGAAAAAACATGTCATAGCGGTGGAACGGGCTTCGCGAGGGCCGTGCCCCTGCACAGCCCTCCTGCCACGGTAGTGTGCAGCAGCTCGTGTTTACACTGGCACCGGCGCTCGCCAAGCCCGGCACCACGCAGCCGGAGCGGCGTGCAGCTTGGGGCAGCTGGAGGAACTGCAAAGGTGAACGTTTGGGGACCAGCCTGGCTCCAAAGAGGGGGTTGAGATCGATGCCAAGGCTCTTTCACCATTTCATTTATTCGCACACACATATATAAATAAAAGCAGAGCAAAAGTGATACGCAATGAGAAGTGAGAACTAAAGACAGTTTCAGCAGCTTTTCCCATGTTAAAAATGCTGAATGGCATGACTATGCACATCTTAACCTATGCACCGTGGTACCCCCACATGGGAGCAGAAACTCCCTTCCCCTCCAGCTAACAGAAGACTCACAAACAGGATAGGGGGCTACTTTCAAGGACCTGCTTTAAGTCCTTTTGGATAATCAGATTTAAGTCTAGATTTTGAAGTGTAGGTAGCTGTTGGTGAAAGAGAAAGAAAACCATCTGCCTCTATAATATCTATACCAAGCAGCAACCCATATGACCAAAACGAAACAAGAGTTTTTTTTACAGCTACAACTATAATCTACTTTTCTTTTTGGTCAAGTTCTTTACTCCCACACTCCAATGGCCAGGCAGTGAGGTGTATTATGTGGCAACCCCATGTGCTAGAGCAATTATGCAGTTCTTCGCACAAAGATATTTCTTGATTATTGTAGGACAGGCCAGGAATCAAAGCCAAGAGTTTGCAACAAAAAATGCAGCCTTTCCAAGCTGGCAGGAGCAAGGGCCTCTGTCTCAGAATCAAACCAGTCGAGCTACTCCTTGAG